TTTTGTCAGCTTTCGTTTCTCTTGCCGCCCTACTCTTCAGTCCCTTCAGCCCATTCACCTGAATGCCCTGAACACCACTATTCTACACCTGAATATCCTGCACGCCCTGAACCGCTGACGTGTCCTTCCCCTCCTCCCGTACTAATTTTTTTCGCATAGCATGTAGCCGTGCCTTCCAGTGCCCCCGCCTTCGGGATGGGGTGCACCACACCGGAAACCCAATTTTGAAGCCATTCATATTAACTACTGCTTTTCACCCTGAGTATCTATCCAAAAAGACTCCCCTCCCTGCCGCGCTGCCACCACTGTATCTGACAATATGGAACTCTCCCCGGTAGGCGACTTGGGTGGCGGTTAGCCGTACAATTGTGTCCACTGTTTATCCAACCTCTTCTTCTCTTGTATAGCTTCTTTCTCTCTCCTAGTCTTTATTGATTGATTGGCATCTTTTGTACTAAGTATACCAGAGTCTCCGATCTTAGGAATCTCTCTTTTAGTGATTTGTCGCTTCCGAGGGGCCTGTATCTCCCTCATTCGACTAACTATATCGCTCATCACTATTCTCAAGTACGATAGAGCTCTTACGCTTTTGTTATTAGAATAACAGGATTGGCTTCTTTAGTAAACCTGAGTCCTTGCGAATGTGTCTGTTATCAGGACGTCCCTGATATTCCATGTCATACCAGCGGATAAACAATTTCTCTCTTATACTACCAAGATATGGCCCACTACAGTAACTAATTATGGAACATGCGCGGACGGCCAGTTATGTAGTCATGTGTTATACCACCACAGAGATTACTGTCAATTTGAGAAGTAGTACTTTACTACTAGAAATTAGGTGATTCAGTGGCCACCCAATTCACCGCCTATTTTGTGTGGTATACCGGATCAACTGGGGGAATACTCATGTTTCAGAAAGACTTTAGACCCAGAGCTCTAGAGACACTTCAAGAGCAGTCTCTAAGATAGTTCCTTCAATCAAGCAATCATTACAACTGGTTCCCTCAGTACTAGCGTATACGGATTTCCTACAAACTGAAAATTACTATACAGTCTTTTACAGATACAGTACCACCAAATCATGTTGTATACATATGTAGGTAACATACTGAAAGTTCGCTGCATGTCAGATTTGCCTAGTGTATTTATCGAACGTAGTGAAGCTTGGTTTTTTCCTTTTTCCCTTTTTTTTGTCTTTATCTTTATCTTTTTCTTTTTCCGCATTAGGGCGCGAGAAAGAGTCGCAGAGTATAAGTGGTGACACCGGTTTCCGGAAGTACTGTATCTAACAACGGTCTACTCCGGGTTGATATTTCTCCAAGCATCTTTGAACCTACCAAGAACTTACCAAGAAACTACGAATCTCAACCTACTGCCTCACCATGTCAAACATGTTTGAATCGATACAACAAGCTCTCTTTCCCGGTGGCCGTTCCCTCATCGTGGATTACATTGCGACGGGCCTAACTTTGTTCCTCGTTTACTTGATTCGCACTCGTTATTTCCATGGGCTCAACAAGATTCCTGGCCCTTTCCTGGCCAGTTTCACTAGCCTCTGGAAATGGGACACAGTCCGCCGAGAGAAAATGCCATTTGTTAATACTCAACTTCATGAAAAGTATGGCCCGCTGGTTAGAATTGGGCCCAACCACATATCTGCCTCGAGCGCAGAGTCCATACAAGTTGTCCATCGATCCAAGAGTGGCTTCACTAAGGTAATTTCATACTGACTACTCCTTCTAATTCGCCCATTTCCCCAGTCCAGATACTAACAGATATCTTGAATTAAGTCCGGTATATACGGAATATTGCAGCCGAGTTACGAAGGCACAGACCTGCACAATGTTTTTTCGACCCAGGATGCTGAGTACCATGCGGCATTAAAACGCACAATGGGGTCCTTATACACAACCACGGCTGTTTTGGGTCTTGAATTCCATCTCGATGACTGCACCAAGCTCTTTATCTCCAAGATGAATGAAATCATCGGCACCAAGGCGTCGGCGCCTGTAGATCTTGCCGCTTGGCTCCAGTACTACGCCTTCGACTCTCTAGGGGCTGTCAACTTCTCTAAGATGCTAGGCTTCATGGAGTCAGGCACCGATGTTGACGGAATCTGTCATTTGGACCATGATCAGATGATGTATTTCGCCATGGTATGCGCTCCCTGAACCTGAACCTAAACCTTTCCCCTCCCATTTGCAATTCACACTGACCCAAATGGATACCATCTAGTGGGGTCAGATTACCACAATCGAAAGAGCCTGGGCTAAAGTCAAGGCTCTCGCAACCGGAACAAGAAAGGAGAACCCGCTGTTCAATGTAAGTATTCACGGAAACTCTCCAATTGGCTAGTTGTTGATCCGTGAACAATAGTTTGCTCTGGAACTCGTTCAAAAACGCGAGGCGAACCCGACCGAGTCAGCCGACATGTTGAACCTTTTCTTGACCTTGCACAAGTCTGTCCCTGAGAAGTTTACCATCAGAGATGTCATCGCAGCAGCGTATATCAACGTGTATGTTAGACACACGGGGTGCGCAGGACTACGCATTTTTCTAATATTTCATACAGGGTAACTGCCCACGATGTTGTCGCCATCACGCTTCGGGCCGTGGTCTACTATCTTGCCAAGAATCCCGCCATGCAGAAGAAGCTGCAGCAGGAGATTGACGACGCAGAAACCGCAGGCAAACTGTCTAATCCGGCCAAGTACACCGAGATCACACCGTTGAGCTACTTGTAAGCAAGCCCGTCGTCTCTTCCCCTATTGTCACTATTGCCTCTCTGAAACATACCGTTGAAGCTGACCGTTTATCAATCGACCAGACTAGCTGTCACAAACGAAGCTCTCCGGATCCACCCAAGCACCGGCTTGATTCTCGAACGCCGCTGTCCAACGGGCGGCGTCACCCTACACGGACAGTATATTCCCGAGGGCACCATCATCGGTGTAAACTGCTGGGTGGTCAACCGCGACAAGGGAATATTCGGCCAGGACGCACATGAGTTCCGGCCGGAGAGATGGATCGACAGCGACCCCAAAGATGTGTCGAGGATGAGAACAAACATGTTCACGGTGCGTCATCCACTTGATCCATACATAGTTAGAGATTTTGTCAAAGCTAATAGTGAATAGTTTGGAGCTGGAGCGAGAAACTGCATCGGCAAGAACCTCGCCATGATGCAGCTGACCAAGATCATTGTTGAGCTTTACCGAAACTTTGACATCGCATTGGAGAATCCAGACAAGGATTGGACTGTCTCTGGCGGTTGGCTCACGAGACAGACCGAGATGGACATGGTTTTGACGAAGAGGAAGTAAATTTCTCTTTGCTTGGACCGACTCAGCGGTGTATTTCGTGCTCTTATGACATATGCCTTATGAATGAATTATTTTTTCAAGTCATACTATTTTCTAGCAGCCAATACGTGAGAAAGATTATAGAAATCACTTCGAGTATACAATTGAGTACTGTACTTGCGTAGATGTTTAAAGAAAAGACGCCTAGGATCCGTTTGTCATACTCGACGAAGGACATCAACCCTGAGGAACAATTTGATATATAGAGCACCAAGCTAATACACTACCTACGTCAGTTTCATTGACTTGGATTAGAATTAGAGGAAATTCAATTGAGTGCCTTCAGCCTAATCTAATGGGAGAAACTAAGATTCAAGTCTCCTTCTTGCCAGACAGCTCAAGATACTGGCCAGCAACGTCAACAACCATGTCCTCATACGTCTTGAAATTGAACTTGAGATCAATCTCGGTCTGATGAGCATTCCAACTGACGGGCACGGTTGGTTGATTTCCCTGCGTGAATGTGCCGTCCGCAACAGCCTTGGGGAAGTGTTTCTCAACGGCTTTCCAAGCGTCGTTGAAGTCGTGGGCCTTCGTGACGCCGAAGTTCCCCGTAATGCCTTCTTTCAATGCTTCTAGATGTACCTTGGCGGCATCATCCACATGGGTGGCGCCTGCTGGCATTGGGCTAGGAGCAGACTGCCCAGTGATGGCTGCTAGAAGGATGCGATTGGTTCCAGCATAGAGGTCCTTGACTTCTAGAGCTCTGTCATCCCGACCGAAAACGAAACCGGGGAAGACGTTGATAACGGTGAAGGAAGGCTCCTTCTCCTTGATGACCTTCTCGGTGAAGTTCAGTGCTGCGATCTTGCCGGCACGGTATGCGGGGAGCATCGAGTCAAAAGGTCCCGTCAGGTCAGGCAGTCTGGTCTCAGCCGTGACTTCCTGGCTTGCGTCGGGAGGGAAGGGTGTATTTGCGAAGACCGAAGATGTGATGACAACCTTCTTCACTGATGGCTCCTTGGATGCGGATACAAGTAGGGTGCTCACACTCTTGATTGTTGGCTCGTAGATGCCGGTCTGTGGGTCCAGGAATGGCGAAGGGAGAGGTGAGGCCAGGTGAATGACATAGGTAACGTCTTTGATAGCCTCATCGTAAGCGCCATCGCGGGTGATGTCAGGAACCTCAACGAATGAGAGCTTGTCCGCCTTCCCAGAAGCAGTTATCTTGGGGTGGGAGGCAAGTGTTTTGGCTTTCTCGGAGGACCGGATAGCGGCTCGGACCGTGTACCCGGCCTGGAGGGCTCCGAGGAGAACTTTGAAGCCAATGAAGCCGGTAGCACCGGTGATGAGAAGGTCTGCGGAAGACATGGCAGATGGGTTCTGTGGGCAGTGGAATGATTGGTTGGGGTGCAGTGGGATGAGAGTGAGGTTCAACCTTAGAAGTCTTATTGTAAAGAAAGCTTGGAAGGGGGAAGGCTCCGGATCCTCTTCCAAATGGTAGTATTTATAATAAAAAGAACTTGAAAGAAGCTAATCCTGTCACCTGACTTCTAACTTCTTTGTTCCTATTTCCCTTTACAATTGTAGTGAAGTCACATGGGGAAAGGAGAGCAACCTCAAGCTCAGAATTTCTGGAGGGGTAAGTCTGCACGTAACTACATCTGTGCTTGCATTCCAGCGTGGCTGTACCATTTGAATGTGTGGTGCAGGGAGTTAGGGGGTAGAAAGTACGACGTATCGTGGGAGTGACAGAAGCGTAATTCGGTTATTATCTTCTATTGTATATTTCCATCAAATAATTCTAAAATTCTAAAATTAATCAAAATTAAGATTAAATGGAATAAGCAATTATAGAGAGCGCTCTTCGTAATCAGCCACCCCATCCCTAGTCTGTTCGGTGAGCGCTTGAGTGTTACGGCCCCCAACGGAAGTCTCATATGCAGGGGTCAACGATTTGGAGGCTGCGTGGTACGCGTGGGCATCACGTGCAGATCTGGGCCAACGGAATGGAGGCAGCGAAGTTCCTCTTTATGCCTAATAATAGGTATCTGTCCACTCAGCGATAACAGACATTGCCCCCTGGGTAAGGATACTAGGTGTTTCGATCCCGTGTACCTGAATGCCAAATACTGAACCAATCAGCCTCATCGCAGTTCTCGTAAAGTAAGCCTAGACATCCTCCACTATTCTGTATTTCTCCTGGCAAAGACTTCCAAATTCAGCTTCGATTTGGGGGCCACAATGCTTGCGCCCGGTTCTAAGAATGCCCTTGATTCTGGGATTACGGAAAGGACCCACGAAAGCAGGTCTGGAACAGAAATAGTAGAGTATTAATAGGGAGATTGATCGTACGTGAAAGTGCCATTATCACTGTGCTTTAGCTACTTTTTTCATTGCCTGTGTATCTCTGTTGCATTTCAGCAATCGCAGAATGTTTTCGTCTATTGAAAGTCGTCTCCTGTTCGTATCTTCGCTGCTCCTGTCTCCTTTAGCAGTGGCACAGAGTTCAACGAATTCAGCGTCCACTTGTCTTTGCATCCCAGGAGATAAATGTTGGCCAGACCTCAAAGCATGGTCCCAACTAAATCACACCATACAGGGAAGACTAATTAAAACAACTCCCCTCGCATCAGTGTGCCACGAGCCATATTATGACGAGGAAGCATGCAATTCTCTAGCAGAAGTGTGGTCGCTGCCTCAAACTCAGTACGTGACTATCACGCGGTGGTAACCGTTCAGTGTCTCAAGATTGGAATTGAGTCTGTTGAACAAGATCTTAGCTGATCCTAGACCAGATATCCCCATCCATCTGAGATCATGTCACCTTACTGGCAGAATCGGAGTTGTGACCCATTCACATCTCCGTCCAAGGCATGTACTCTCGGCAATTACGTCGATTATGCGGTCAACATAAGTTCTGCCGACGATGTTTCACAAGCACTGCGGTTTGCACAGAAACACAGTGTCCGTGTTGTTATCAAGAATACTGGACATGAGTTAGTTTACTTCAATTATATATTATATATACAACTGAAGTTTGAGCTAATCATTTTCAGTTACCTTGGAAAGTCTACTGGAAAGGGGTCCCTGAGTCTTTGGACTCACAACATGAAGTATGTGGGATTCCTTAATTATTCCAGCACGGAGTATACTGGACCTGCAATGAAGATGGGAGGTGAGTAGCATGAGCCGCCAACCTACTTCTATCCTTTTGAGTGATATACTGAGACTCTGCAGCCGGAGTTCAAGCCTTCGAAGCCTATGCAGCAGCGGCATCTCATGGTCTCCGCATTATAGGGGGCTCATGTGCCACTGTTGGCCTGTCTGGTGGATTTATTCAGGGGGGTGGTCATTCCCCCCTGAGCTCCACGTATGGGATGGGTGCAGACCAGGTTCTCGAATGGGAAGTGGTCACCGCTACTGGAAAGCACCTCATCGCGTCACCCACCGAAAACAAAGATCTCTATTGGGCTCTTAGTGGAGGTGGCGGCGGCACGTACGGTGTTGTCATTTCGGTTACTGTGAAAGCTTTCAAGGACGGCATCGTCGGGGGTGCATATCTCGAAATCAACAAGACTGGCACGACGGACGAGAAGTTCTGGAAAGGGGTTGAAGAGTTCTTTAATTGGGTCCCCGATATGGTGGACTCTGGAAGCACAGCTCTCTTCTCTACCTCCAATACAAGCTTTGTAGTCATTCCTCTGACCGCGCCAGGCAAGAGTGAAGATGAGGTGAAGGATCTGCTACAGCCGTTTCTTGCCAAGATCAACGACCTAGGCGTACCCATAACCACCTCAATAACTTCATTTCCCACATATTTGGAGCATTTCGCCCACTATTTGGGCCCCATGCCCTATGGTCTCCCGCTTATCAACATAGTCGACGTCTCTATTGGCGGACGACTGATCCCACGAAAGGTACTCGAGAACGTCACATCGAACCTGGATTTCGTTGACGCGCTGAAGCTCAGCGTGCAACCTGGCGGCGACTACCAGACGGGAGGCATCGCACTATACGCGCCACATTCCGTTGCGGGCAACGACCCGTCCTCCAACTCCGTGTTGCCAGCGTGGCGCGACAGCATTTTAACCATCCTGGCTTTCGCGCCGTGGGACTTCAAGGTGTCATTGAGCAACAACATGGCCGGCGATGATTACCTCAACCAGGTTACGATACCTGCGCTGACAGCGGTTGCGCCCGATAGCGGTGCATATCTGAACGAAGCGAACCTCCAGCAGGACCACTGGCAGAGTGCCTTCTACGGTGCCAACTACGACAGGTTACGCAGTATCAAGAAGATGTATGATCCCAAAGACCTCTTCTTTGCTAATACTGCGGTGGGCAGTGAAGCTTGGACGCAAGATGGCGATGGACGGTTGTGTAGGAGTACGTAAAAGCATGACGCGCCACCCAAGCATCATAGATATTTCTTTTTGGGGTATTCTTGCAATTTTGTCACGTAAGATTCTTTGATACATAGTTCCGTGGGCCCGAAATAGAGTTGGCGTCGTCAAGGTTCATAATGCGAGGAAATCATATCCACTATCTTGATGGTAGAGCCGCGAATCCTTCTTGATAGTATATGCTATCTTTGTTGCTCTATGTGTCCTCAGGCGTCACCAGGTTGCTTTTTCGGATAGGGGAGAACCAAAACCATAGGCTCACTTCCTTGGTTGCCTATTCTCTATTCCCTTATCATTGGTCCTTGCGACTCGACTTCATTCACTTCGGTTTGCTCCCAATCGCAAGGTATACCCCAAAGAAGCAACATCAGCGAGGCTCAATCCTGTCTGTGGCAGGCCTTGTATTGTATTGTACAAACGACGCTTCATTATTATTCACCATAATCTTTCGGTTTTGTATTGTCATATCTTACCACCCGCTATTCGCCCCACTTTGAAGTACTCCGTATGCATGCCAGGGGGTTAAGAGATGCTTGGCCGTCTTGGCATTCACCGCCTGGTTTTAAATCCATCCGTCTCCACTCAAAGCTTACGCAGTCGCTGTAGACCTGCAAAAGCCCATTGGCGGGCATGGGCTAGAAATTGTCAGCCCCCCCCCACCCACCCGGGCCGGCCCATTGGGTTTACGGGCCGTCCCATTTGTCTGTTTAATCTAGCTGTATTTTATTATTGTATCTCAGCAAATATTATGTATATTTGGCGCCATACGGGCTAAAGATGAGCAAGCAATGGGCCAGCCCTGAAACCCATGGGCTGATAGGATAGGGTCTAGGCCTCACTTCACTGCTCGCTTCGTAAGCGAAGTCGTACGAAGACTAAAGTGCCATGCATATTTTGGTGGGTATACATTCACCCGCGCATTCCGAGTGCGACTCGGCCCCCCATTCTCGTGGGCCATGATGCGGCTGAAGGCTGACGTTACATTAATCTATAAGTTTTCTAAATAATGGGCATTTGGTCCAATTTCAAGTGTATTGTATGCGAAACAGGCTGGATTGGTCGGTGGTACCAGAAAAGGTAAATACCGTATCACCGACCAACCACCCTGTCACTGTTGGTTTTTCTTTTCAAGACGCCGACCTCGCTATGTGCTTCCAAGGTTAGCGAGTCCTGTCGCCTTCCGAGATTTATACCTGCAACCTTGGAAATTGAGGCCACCCGGGAATGACTGGATTTGGCAATGCTTGCCACTTACCGCCCTTCCACCAAGTTGGGTGACACGTTATATGGATGATTGGAAGAAGCATTTAGTATTGTTTGTGGCCATATTCTGAAGAGCCGTCGTTTGCAAGTCACGTCTCCATCTTAGTTCAAGAATGTCAGAAGTCAATAATGCCCTCGAGGAATATCCTCTTTCTCGAGATTATGTCGACTTCAATCGGTTTGTTCAGTACCTCCTTCAAAATTAAAGGGCATGGTTAATCATGAACAAAGTCTCAATCTTCAGCACTACATCTTGAAAGATATGTTTGGATACAGCCTGCATCCTAAGATCTCGCGAAATCAAAAGTCTTTAAAGATTGCAGATGTTGGCACAGGAACTGGGTATATAAGCCTGCATCATAACAATACGGAGCCAGCTTTAACATTTTTCAGAATATGGCTACTAGATCTATTGCCGCAACTCGATCCATACACGGAGCTCGTTGGCATAGATGTCGACATTACGCAAGTTGGACCTAGGGAGTGGCTTCCAGAAAACCTGACCCTAAGACAATGGAATGTATTGACAGATGTACCAGACTATCTCGTCGGAGCCTTTGAAATTGTAAATCTACGCCATTTCGCCTTCGTTATCGAAGACGACGCGACACCTATACTGCAGAGACTGAAAAGGTTATTGAGGGAGTTTCCCCTCTGCGATCGAGATGCCACAGTTCAGGACTGACACATCACTTTCCGACGTCCAGAGCCTGGCGGATATTTACAGTGGTGCGAGGTCGATGTTCCATCCTTCCGTATCAAAACCCCCTCGCCAAGTGTATCTACGGATTGTCTCGTAGAACTTTGGGAGCAAACCATGCCAAAAGAGACACGACTCTTCCCGAAGTGGGTCAAGGGGCTACCAGAAAGCTTCGGAAATGAGAGTTTCCTAGATATCACGACGGACTGGCATGAACAAAAGGGCCATACGGGCATTGCGATGCACTGGTGCAATTTGCCTATACACGAGATGCTTGCTGACAGGCTGAGATCATCTAACCTGGAGAAGTCATCGAACATTTCAATGATGGAAAAAGCTTCAGTAGAGTCGCGCAAAGGCGCTATGTACGCATTCGACAGGGTGGTCGTGGTCGGCCAAAAACCATAGATATGGCCTTTCTCAATATCGATTTGACGAGAAACTATTTTCAGCCCCACTGCCAACATCTTAACGCGTACTATCTGGACTGAAAATGATATTCTAGAAGCTATTTAGGAGATAATTACGCAGTAGTGATCTTTGATTAGTTAAACTATCAATAAATCAAGAAAATAATATACTACCTAGGGCTATATTTAAAGTCAGTTCAATCTATTAGGAGACATTCCAGGATAAACTATTTATTAAATTTTAACAAACTTAAAGAGAGTATATAGAGGAAATTTTACTATCTTAATAATAGTAAGCTAGTGAGAGATGATGAATGGATGATAATGATAAATATACGTTTTTTGGAATCTATAAAGAGAAAGAGGATAAATCAGGCTGCACCTTTCATAGACTGAACTCGAATTGATTTATACCACATTCTCCGATTTGGCTATGACCGATCTGCCATCTACTCCGAGTCCATCTAGACCTCGGTCTTTACAGAGTCTCTAAGAACATCCACGGCAACCTTTGCAAGCGTCCCGTCCCTCAACGCACGATAAACAGCCCCCGTATACGAACCCACAGTCGGTGCCTCCGCACCGCCATGCGCCCCCGACTCACCGTTCATCGCACCCGCCGTGGGAGTCGATAAATTCCGCGTCGCCAGCAGAGGCACCCCCAGCGACCCCCGCAGAAACCCATACATAGCTTTTGACGCCTTCCCGAGCAAGCCGGTAGCATCGCCATGAACCAGGTATGCGTCCCTATTCGCGCACCACGCATCGTTCAAGGAGGCGCTGAGGGCCTCGGTAAAGCTTTGGAGACGAGGGGTGAAGTCGGCTGCCGTGTTGAAACTCACATGGTCCAGAAGTACGGACCGCAGCGACTTTGCCATGACTGGGAACCGCTGCTCGGCGTCCATACTAGTGGTCGTATCGAAGGCCGCGAGCAGTTGCGTCCAGAGTAGCTCCGAGAGGGTTTGGACGGCTTTGGGCTCGACTGGCTTGAGTTGAGGGTCCGCCAAACCGTTCAGAAGATTCGCTGAGACCTCGATGGGATTCGGTATCTTCGGGATGATATCCGACGGTATCGTCTCTTCAGCGTAATGTGCGTGGACCAATTGGACGAACTCAGGATGATAAACTTCCAGGAATTGAGCGTGCATGGCGCGTAGGTCGAGGGCTTGGCAGACTGCGATCAAGTGTGCTGCCATGAGTTGCGATAGAACCTCGTTGGCGGTGTGGGTGTATCGGGCCGATATTAGAGCCAGCGAGTTCAGGGACTGGTTTCCCATCTCGGCTGTTTGAACGTGGTTGACCGGGTTGGCAAGGAAACCCAGCTCGGCGGTCAATGAAGCAATGTTGAGATCGAATCCCTTGAATATCAGAGATATGCCGGGGTCTTCTGCTACCAGGTTCGGAGGAAGGCCTCGGTTCGTTGCCGGATTGATGATTTCAGTGCACTGAGAAAAGAGCATGCGGCCGATCCCCTGAATACCCTGTCGTGCTTTCTCCATGGCGGATGTCACGGACTTGGCTTGGAAATTCCCACCGTGTATAAATTCGCCCTCTGGTGTCACCAGCGGGTTGTCTGTTGCAGAGTTGCATTCGATAAACACTTGCTGGTGGGCTAGGCTAAGGTCTTCCAGGATGGGACCAAGCCATTGTGGTGCGGTCCGGATTGAGTATCTATCCTGGCGAAGAGAGGAGTGAGCTCCGTCGTTCACTTTAGTGAACTTAGAGCCTGATAAGAAATTCAGGATATTCCGGGCAGATTCCACCTTCCACAGACTTTTAGCAAGGTTCCGGAAGGAATGGAATTTGGGACACTCACCTGACCAGGATGTGGCCGTACTTCAGCGAAGAATGGATGAAAGCTCTCTGACGTACCAGTCAGAGCCTCAACACTCATGGCAGTAAGAACCTGAGCGATAAGAGCTAAGCTGTGGGTGTCATGAAGAGCCAGGGCAGCCACTGCAGCCGACACGGTCGTGCCGTTTGTCACCGCAAGTCCTTCTTTGGCTTGTATAACCAACGGCTCTAGTCCAGCCTTCTCAAAAGCGCTATCCGCATAGACATGTTGATTATCTCTGGAGAGCACCCGGATTGTAGATTTACCTTGGATGGCTCCACAGATATATGACAAGGGGCTCAGATCACCAGAGGAGGAGATGCTACCACGTAGGGGAATCATTGGGATGATGTCGTGTTTTAACAAGTCCTGCATCCGCTGGACAATAACAGGCCTGACGGCCGAGCATCCAGAAATCAAAGAGTTGATACGTATGAGTATTGACGCCCGAGCCCATGACCAAGGCAGGTATGTGGACTCAAGGCCAGATTCGAGGGATAGATCATGACGGTGCTTGGCTAAACCCTCTTCCAGTTGCAAAGGACGGTGATCTCTTTCCCCTGTTGGGAGAATACCATAGTGAAGCTCTCTGATGAGTGCCCGCTGCAATTCAACGTGTTTCTTGGTTCGGATGTCGGCAGAGCCTCCAAACCCGGTATTCACCCCTGTGGCCACAATAAGTCAGTTCGGGGCATTGATAGTCACTACCAGTAAGTGCGCACCGTATATAACATCCCCAGAGATAAGTCTCTTTTCGAGCATGCTAAGGCTCTTTTCCATAGCATTGATAGCAGACAGATCAATATCTGATAGCACGTTGTAACTACAACTTTTAATTAGACCAACGTATACTGAAGTGTCGGATACACGATCAGGAGGCCAACAAACCGTGCGACAGCTATGACATCTGGGATACTCAGCGTGCGTCCTGTAAGTACAATTTTGGCCGAGTCTTTTCCGCAGATCAGAGCCTCCAGGAACTTCCACTCCCTTAGAACAATATCGGAGTGATTCATAGTGACGATGTCGGGAGCCCGCAGTTCTGGGCGTTGTAACGGAATAGAGGTAAAAGCTGCGCGCACTATGAGCTCTTTGTAACATCAATATAGAATCGACACAGTAATACCAGGCCCGGGAGATTACGTAGAAGGAGTGCAATGTGGCTTGCCCTACAAGAACCACGCGAGTACACCGCTTCTTTGTGCCCGGAGTAATAGGAGTGCCCAGGTGGACATCGTACACGTATGTCTTACCAGAATGCTGGTCGTAACGGGATCGCTGTAAATATGCAGTGGTGTGCAAGTAGCGAGGTCGTTTTAGTTCAGCACGTATGCATGATACATCACATCACACACATACATGTGCATGCATATCAGCTTACAAGGCTGACATGCATTCGGGTCGTTTCGGTGCGGCAGGTATATATGCATGCCACATCACATTACATATCTATGTATCTGACATGCATGCGGTTTGGGCCTCGTTTAACCTGCCATACCTAGTTTTCAGGCTGCCAGGCTGCCACTCCACTCCCTGGGCCGGGCCCACCCACACCTTCCTTCGGCTTTATAGTGGAGTAGATTAGGGCAAAGCGTAATTAACCTCTACGGGTTAGCGGTATCAGTTAGCGGTATCTAGAATATAAACTGTATTCAATGTTATCGGACGGAAAGGGGAACTCAAAAACCATGAAAGACCGGTACCTAGGTAATATTCGTATATCTTCAGATGCCTGGTGTTACCAGCTCCTCTATAAACACGTCTACAAACATTTGAAGCACATGTGCAGGCTAGACTAAACAGATTGGACTAAAAGGGTTCTAAATACAATCCTTCAGACAGATGTATTCTACCGTAATGTCCCACTCCTCCAATTATTCAAAGGCCTTGACAAATAAACACAGCAGAAAGCTCAGCACAAACATACACGCGCGCACGCAGCCTATAGCTTAATAGTGCAGAACGTAAACAAATTGTTGCTCTAAACTTGGATCCATGATGGAAGAGTCAACTGGTGGCTATGAACCGCCCTCAGATTCGAACAAGTGTACTGGTGCTTGTGGCTTGAAATAGGAAACCACTCTCAGTGTGCCATCTGGCCGAATCGCACACCCAACATAAGTCTGCACACCTGAATTTTCTCGCATTGACTTTGGAGTACTGCGAGAAGATCTTAGTAGAATTTCCCCAACGAATGACTAGAAATAAAATAGCATAGGAAAACTCACAACAGTGTACTCATGGCCCTGATGTAGTCGGGCATGTACTTGCCCTTTTGCTGGCCTTGAAAGTAGTCGTTCAATCCACGGATCACAGCCTCATCGCTTGTAGAGTAATGCCGAACCGGTAGATATATCTTAGCCACAGGCAATGCCTCGCCAAGCCTGAACTCGACGTTGTAGAGTATTCCTGAGGTGCGATGCTCAACTTCGCGCAGAGTCTGATCCACTGCGTATACTCCAAATAGCGCGGTCCAGAGTCTGTGGAGGTCTACCAGGCCTTCGTACAGCTTAGGGTTTCGGATCCGACCTTCAAGTGTCATGACGTTTATGACTGACTGGAAAGTTGTCTCGCGGGATCGGAAATAGATCTTAAGCCTCGACTGCAGCGGGTCAATAAGATCAATAGCTAGCATCTCGTGTTCTAGCTGTTTGCTGCCCACACTAGAGCAGAAGGCGTGAAAGATGTCACCGGCCTCGAAGTTTCTATCAGTGACGTGAGGAGCCGTGCGCATGGCTTGGAAGAGCACATCTAGATTTGATTGACCGGATGCTTTTGCTCTCAACTTAGGGAAGAAGTACACCTTTGGTGTAATTTCGGTTTCTGAGCAGTCAAAACCGTAGAAGATACTAGAGTTATGGTCTCTTGTATCCTCGTAAAACTCGCCTTCTTTGACGTTGGGTATGTTGAAGAAGTCTTTGAAATGATGGAACCACTCCAATCTCAGAGTCGGCAGTGAGCGGGCCAGCCGCTCTTGAAAGGCTGGTCCAGCAGTCAGGTTTCCGGGGTCAACTGAGGTGCCCGCATGCAGCCCGATCGGCTCCACCGAGTATCGTACAATCGGCGGTGCATCCTTTGTGCCCCAGTCCCAGCTTAGCTCGACAGGAGTCCCATCATCAGTCATGAAGCTCGGCCATATCGGCGTACCACTCCCCAAGATTTCCGGAGAAACACCAAGATGAGGAGCCACGGCTTCAGCAAAAAATTTCAGGTTCCAATACTGCAAGTCTGCTGGGTATCGGGCGTTGCATAGCAGAACCGCAAGAGCTTTTCCGGTGTGACGACTCCACCAGAAGCGATGGTGGACGCTCTCAAAGCTGTCGAGCTCTGAATTCACTCGTTGCCAAATTGAAAGCTCAACGGGGTAATAAGGGTAGCGAGTGATTCTTGTGTCATGTTCTCGAGGTTCAAGGTCCGCCGATAATTTGGAAAGGCCATTCGAGGCGAATTGAGAAACCCCGAATTGAAATTCGGGGCTTTCATCAAGTAAAGTCTGAGCCATTGGTACAAGTCAAAATCTATTTCTACGATGAGGGATTGCAAGTCAGATGTATACAAGTGGTTTTATAATATCTCGGACAGGTAACGTGGGTCGTAAGCGGCCCCCAGAGCTGGTAAATGTAAGCGAGTGATAAATCTCGAAACACCATACTTACGGGTCATAAATTACAACTTAGGACTGAAATTTCATTCGCATAAGTTATGGGATTATTCTTTTTTTTGGACCAGCTATCTCCTATTCGAAGTCGAACCGCCAACCAACGCTGAGGCTGAAACTACTTCATTCAATTTGGCTAATTTTGTATTGGTTGCTTCTCCGCCAATTACGATAATTGCGATGATTCCTTCGTGCATAGCAAATCGTTGGACGCTGACGCGTCCCCTGTTTCCTGGAAGAAAAGCCTTAGGCGTCCAGGATGAGACCTTCCATTTGAAGAAAATTCGGACAGAGTATCCCGAATTTATAATAAAAATTCAACTATTCTGAGAAATGACGGCTGTGAATGGTCGGTGCTGCATTGATACCGCCGCAAGTGGATTGTTGTCGAGCGGGTTGCCTATCATCTTTGCTTCTTCGAACGTTCTCTAGCGCCTTCTTCGAACACTCTACTCCGTACAATGCATTGCTATTTGTCATTACCGGGCACCATTGACAGGAAGTTTGAGAAGACATAAACCCGATGTCACGTCGTGACTGGTAACTTTGGCGTAAATGTGAAAACGTGGGATTCGTACCTAGGTAGCAACAGGGCACCCACGGATTTACCGGTATCCGCAATCGGGTAGGCGTATTTTAGAGCACTTTGCTTACCCACGGACTTTCGTTGCGAGTAATATCTGAAGCGGTTGTGAACACAATTGATTCCACCTTGTACAATTTGCAACCACGCCAGTCGCTCGACTGTTTGACCAATACGGCCAATTAGAACGGTATGCGACAAATGAATGGATCGAGAAAAAAACCTTTCTGCCTACCACATACTTTGAAATCATTATTTCGGTTTAATGGTGGATGAAAAAGGCAACCCCAGGGGTGGGGTATGAGATGTCGTAGCGGGAGGCAGTGTTCCCGTTTGAGATGCAGACATAAAACAGGGTATTCATCTCGCAGCGTCAGCCAGTTCAGGTTAGGTCAGATTTGCATGACGCTCCTGCAAACCGCTTACCACTAGTACGGTATAACAGCACCAGTGAGACATTCCGTATTTGAATTGCAATTATGTTTTATCAGGTACCACCCGTAGATTTCCGCTTAGGTATCGACCCAAAACAATTGACGCAGATAACAAAGCTCATGTAAGCAAGTAGCGTATTTCAAGCGATTATGCTGCCGCGGCTTTTGCCCCTTCAACTTAACCCGTCTTAAATGACATTCTTAGTTACTAAGAACTACACATGGACGAGTATTTAAGATTGGTTGCACTGTGTGCAATCTGCTTGGCCTTTCAATTCCTGCGAACCCGCTATCATGGAGGCCTCAATGCTATCCCCGGACCGTTCTCTGCAAGCTTTTGCAATCTCTGGAAGATCTTGGCTGTCTATAACGATGACATGCCACGGCGTAACATATCTGTACACCAGAAGTATGGACCAGTTGTCCGAATCGGTCCAAAGCACGTCTCCTTCTCAAGCCCCGAGGCGCTCCATATTATACATGGATCGAGACAGGCATATCCTAAAGTGAGAAAATCTTGCACCTCGACGCTCGAGTGCCTATGTTATAACTTGATGGACTGACCAAGGACAGTCCGACTTTTATAAGCCAGCAGCAGCCCCGTTCGAAGGCAGCCCACTGCTGAATCTATTTTCAGTGCGAGATGTTAACTACCACTCTTCGCTTAAAAAGGTCATCGGTGGTCTATACACGAAAGCTGCCGTACTGGGCCTAGAATCCAAAATTGATACTTGTGTGGAAATGTTCACAAATCAATTGCGAAATCGGACTCGGGATGATGGTCCGACCAATGTGGATATGTCCCTATGGGTACATCTTTTCGCGTTTGATTGCCTCGGGGAGCTGAATGTATCCAAGAAATTCGGATATCTGGATACCGGCAGAGATTTCAATGGATTTATTGAAGGCTCTGACAAAGTACTGATCAAAACTGGATTGGTAAACCACTCTGATAAAGACTGCTGTTATGGTAAAATACTGATTCAGCTCAATAGCTCGGCCAAGCGCCCTTCCTCCAACTGGTGCGAAGATTAATAGATACCCTTTGGGGAGCGGAGAAGCTCAATCCGGTGCTAAAGGTTAGAAGCCTCCTCATCGAAGGGAATGTGCAAGTCTCGTTGACATATTCACTCCATTGTAGTACACCACCACCGTGATTCAGCAACGTCTCGAAAAGCCTACCGAGAACCCGGACATGTTAAACAGTTTTCTAGAGCTCCGAAAGGCTCAACCAGACAAGCTTTCTATTCGAGATATCACAGGATCAATTTACATCAACCTGTAGGTCTCGTGAGCCATCATTGGTAAAGGAAACTATTGACAAGAACTGCCTTAGTATGGCGGGTCACGACGTACTTGCTGTTACTCTCAGAACGATCTTGTACTACGTTGCTCGGTCTCCTCGAGTCGAGGACAAGCTCCGTGCTGAGCTCGCCACCTTAGTAACGCACTATGGGTCGACGGATGCAATACCCTACACAGAGACCTCGAAGCTGCCTTATTTGTAGGTTTCCAGGTTCCTAAACTCGTCCAAGCACTAAACATTTTTGTTCAGAGGAGCCGTCATCAACGAATCCTTGCGTATCCATGGAAATTTAGGTCTCATCAACGAGCGTGTCACACCGCCAGAGGGTGCCCGTATTGATGGATACCACATACCCGGCGGAACCATCGTGGGAATAAACCCATGGGTAATTCATCGTAATACCGAGATCTTCGGAGAAGATGTCGAGACCTTCCGGCCAGAACGATGGCTGGATGGACCCGAAGACAGAATTCAGGAGATGAAAAGAAACTTGTTTTCGGTAAGCCCAAGATCACTAACGACCCTGTTTCATCCAGCTAATGTTTAGGAAAGTTTGGCGCCGGTCCTCGGATGTGCATAGGAAAGAATATCGCTATGATGCAGATTTACAAATTCATAACCGAGTTCTACCGTCACTTCACTTTTGAGCTTGCCTCACCAGAGAAGGATTGGCACGTAATCGGTAATTGGGTTACCAAACAGACCGAAATGGATATGCTTGTGACACAGGCAAAACCTGGGCGGGTTTGAACAGAGCTACAGCGCGCGGTTAACTCCCTTGAAGGTTTCAAAGAGACTATTCCATAGCCGCTACAGAGATCATTATGGTTGAGGTAAAAGTACGTTACGTTGCTTTTGCTTATTAAACACGTGAATTTGGTTGCACAACATGTTTCTATCTTTCAATATGGATATAAATTTTCCAACGTTCCGTACGCACAAGGCTTTGCCAAATTCATGACCATACCTGAGAGAGGCGTTCAAAAGGACGGTCAATGACCAGCCTGTCTGAGCTGGAGGATGCTAACGCGCGAGCGTAGTAGCAGCTCTTCCACACTAATTTATTGCGTTTCATCAAAGCCGCCGGTATCTCACACTATGTACCTTGTGATGATTCTTGTTAAGTAGTTGAATCGACCAGAAGACTCCATAAATACCTAGCCGTCAGCCCCAATATGCCGACGTCGGCCATGGCAATTCCGTGGAGACCCATGGCACGGTCGCCGCATATATATCAGCTTTTGCAATCCTGCAGCATAAGCCATTGACGAGCTTATCGCTATAAACGACCAAGTTATACGGGAAATCGATCCGAATGCGACACCGTACTTTTGAAGCCCGGGGTAGAGAAACAGTTGGATGATCGGACCGAGCAGTACACAGGAAATGGGATTGAGTGCTTGAATGACAGAGGGCAAGTCCTCGTGACTTACCAAATGACCTTTGCCAAAACAGCAGCAAAGGAATTGGAATCCAGACGAAACACAGGGGCAGTAGGTAGGCTGCTTAGAAGTCAACCTCTTTCTCCAAATAAGTCGAAGCAATCAGAGAGGGACTCCCAATGTTGGTGAACCTTTCCATGTCAGCTGGCTCTATATGTTTGCAACGGGGTGCCCTATACCAATAGGAAACATTTTATATATATTGAAGAGTCAACATGTGATCCACGATGACTATCTCACCTTTCTTCGTGACTACCAACTGTGGAGTTAAAACTGTATATTGATCACTAATAAAGAGGGAGACAGTGGCTTTGATTACCCCAGTTCCCAGACTCAGCAGGACCATGGCAAGAGCCAATCCAAAAGTCTTGAGGGAAATTTGGGTTACCGCTGGAAGTGATGTGACAAAGAGCACTGTACACCCACACGTATTCAGGCTGGCGATAATCAGCTTCAACTCCCATGTGAAAGGTACGCATAACCAACATAAAAGAGATGCATAAAGTTTTGTATTTCCCAATCCGTGAGCCTGAGAGAACAGCGAATGGTAGAGGGGCTATAAATGAGAAGAAAAAGAAGGCGTTGGAGATGTTGGTTGCGGTTGCTTGACCAAGACCCAGAGCTCCCGGGACTTCAATACTATCACGGTCATTTTGCATATAGTTCTCTGGAGGCAGTTAAGATCTATTGATCCCCCGTTAGATGGTTTAGACACTTACGCCATGGAGCGGTGACGGTATAGTGCGTGAATCTTTCCAATGCACCAGATACAAGAGCCATCCAAACAATGAGAGGGATCGAGTCCACCGCATTGGGTAGGGCCTTGACTTCGTCCTCGGTTGCATCCCGTCTTTCCCGTTCAGTGGCCTGGGCATCCATATTGTTTACCATAGGACGTAGGGAGAAAATTCCAGTGTGGTGGTTTTATTGAACAAAATCCCACGGTGCTTGAAATTCTCTGTGGACGCAAGGCTATAATGACAATTTGTGAGGAGGAAAAAGGAGGGGACTGGACGGCTACGTACTTTGTAGTATCAGTCAACTGCTAGTTATCCTGTGCCTATTGCGTAAGATGACACAGGATAGCGTATTATGGCGATAGAGCAGTACACAAAGAAAAAATAAATTGATTGAGTCCCGCTACAGGGAAAGCTCAACCCTTTGGCGGAGTTAAGGCTAGGCATTTGACAAGGAGTTCAAGGTTGTTCTTGGACTCCTCTCAATATAGTTAAGCGTTGTGGAGACCGCGGGAGGTTCTAACCTTAAGAGATTCCAAGGTTAGATGGAACACGTCCCACATTTCCCTTCAAGGCTGGCGCCTCGTTTAGTCTGTTTGTTCGTTTGGGCTATGGTCGAGGACGAGTAGAAAAGAAAGTTGGATAAAGGTGAACGTATTTCAGGAATTTTCCAGAAGTGTGTTGAATAGTGTTCAGTGAACTAAAGTAGATGCTCGTTAGCCTTCACGTTGTTAAATTGGTAGAGGCCTATTAGTCGTTTGGATAATTACAAACGTACTTTCGAAAATATATTACAGTGATTTTTCAATGAAAGCTATGTGGCATTCTACTGGTGTCAACCTTCCGCAAGTGCAAGCAATTATTTGTCTAGTAAAGAATACTATAAATAAGCTGGAACTCACCCTGGGGCCAGGTTTCTATCCTACCTCCAACCACATAGACTATAGACCTACCTTTAACACAATTCACAACCAAGAGATTTACTCCCAAAATGGAAGAATCCCTCATCCTCTCCAAATTTGACAATCTCGTCCGATCCGGCATCGTCCAATACGACGATAAACAACAAATCATCGAGCACGTTGATGGCGACCTCAAGGTATTCCATCCCTTCCCCGACCACAATCCAATCAAATCTCGATTAACGCAATGACCGAGTTCCAATTTTTCCTCACTTCTGCTCTCATCAAAAAGCCCACCCTAACAACCGCCGAGTCCCAACCCGATGCCGACGCCCAAAAGCCCGAAAAGCGAGAAGGCAGCGACATAAGCACCACCGGGTTCGAGCTCGGCGCGCTAGATAGCCACTTAGTGATCGTGAACAAGTTCTGCTTTGCGCGACCCCACCTCATGCTCCTCACTTTCGATGGATACAAACGACAATATGAGGCGCTTGACGAATCCGATCTAAACGACACGTGGCAACTGCTGAACTCTGCGAAGAGTGACTACGTTGTGTTTTCAATTGCGGCCCGAATGGCGGATATAGTCGGCTGCATAAGCATCTACAGGTGATGCCCTTGCCGGCAAACAGTTTTGCTGCCTTTTTGCATTCCCCCGAAGAACCCGAGACCAAGGTTCCATTTCAGTGGTTCTATCGACGCTTTGAGAGTCATGTGACTCCCGCTGCGTTATTCGGAACTTACAAAGATCTGCTGGAGGAGGCTTCGAAGGTGGCTGGGGACAATACGACGGATGCACCGCCTGGGGCGGTCTGTCCGCATAATGTGATTTTTACTAAGAGGCGGATGATCGTGCTACCCAGAAGACAAGGCGCGATTAATAAGGAGGCAGGGGTGAATTCGTTGGGAATTCTGGGAGTGATCGCCGTGGCTACGACGAAGGAGATTGATAATTGGGTCAGGTTGGGTTTAACGGAGTCACTAGCAGAGCTGGGAGTATCCAAGGAGATATAATTGCGAATTTTCTTTGCGAGCCTCATCACAGCCTTTGGGGCAGTATTTCTGCTCTCTATTGATGTTGTTTCTACACGAGGACAGTCAAGATCGAGAGAGCCTACCAGTCCTGGCTATCGTGATAAAGACGCATATCCTTTGGCTTGTAATACCGGAGGACCCAATCCCTCCAATTGGTCCATTTATCACAACTTTAAACAGCTCAAATCCGGCCATTAGATCTTATCCTATCATTTCTCTTTATATGATCTAGTGAATGATCTAGACTCTCTCCGTCGACTCTATATCTATACCTCTTATAGTACCGACTGGTTAGCTCTCTAACACCTAACCGCAAATATTACGGCTTATATCGAATCTATTGCCTCGACTTATGCTCTTAGATAGTGAGGCAATAACCTACTCACTAGCATAGATCTTCATTTTCTAAGTGATCATATTCTATAAGTCTTGTCCACACGTAACCTGGTACATACGACCATAGGGTGTGGAAAACAGGGCTTCCCGTCCGCTCAGCCGTACTTAAGCCACACGCCGGTGAGTTAGTAGTTGGGTGGGTGACCACCAGCGAATCCTCACTG